TGACAGGAGCTGGACCAACTGAGAACATGCGGTGACTTCTCAGCTGCAGGCGGCAGAGGGCGGCGGTCCTGGCTGCAGAGTTTCTCATCGTCGTCCTATCCGTGAAGAGGCCGGGGTCCTGCTGCTGAGCAGCGTCCCACACCGGGCAGCCTGCTCCCGGCCCTGCCGCTCGCCCCCGCGACCAGAGGGGGTGTTCCACGCCGAGGGCGGCGGCCGGGAAAGCGAGGTCCTTGGTTTGTGTTTCGGGGCTCACGTGCCGTGTGCGCTTGCTGCGGGGTTTTCTGTGCAGGCCCAGCCCCCTGCGCGGCCGGCTTCCTCCCCCTTCCCCGTCTGGTGGCTTCTGTTTCTTCTTTCTTGCCCGGCGCTCCGGCAGGACTTGTGCTCCCGCGCTGGAGAGCAGGCAGTGGGCGTTCTGTCTTGCTTCTCACCTTAGGGCAAAACTTTCGGCTTTAGTTATTTTTGAAAAATCTTATTCTTTATTGCAGTAACTAGGTGGAATCATGAGGGCTTTGAAACCGATTGCACATGGCTTCCGCCGGCCCGCAACCGCTTTTGTACCCCGCGGGCACAGGCTCCTGGGCACAGGCGGCACCGCTGTCCCCTCGCCCGAGCCTGTGAGCTGCACGACGTGTCCTGTCGTCGGGTGCTCTCCGGGGGCGGCCAGCGGCGGGGGCTGTGCGGCCACTCTGCTCCCGCTCGCCAAGCGCTGCGGACTCGCCGGACAGACGGGCTCGCCCAAACCCTCCCCAGCTCGCGTTCTGGTGCCTACGTCCAGTCAGTGCCACGCTTGCGAGCCCACGCCCCCGCGTGCTGTTCTCACCCAAATCCCCTTCTCTGAGCGCTCCCAGATGGACCCTGGTGGGAAAGACTGACCCTGTCTCTCGTGGGCGGGTTCGCTCATCCAGCCCGACCGGGTTTTCACACAAATACCCGGATTGCAGGATTTGGTCCTGGGGTCTCAAACGTCGGTCCCCAAATGTGCTCGCCAAGGGCATTCCCTGGGGCGAGCTGGTGCATGCTGCCCTTCCCCCCCTTCACGTCTGTCTGGGATTCCATTATCATTTTAAAATTTCAGGCCAGCCAGTGTTCTGGTGCCGTGAAATTGCTGGGGGCTCCACACCGCTTGGCGCTGCCGACCAGTGTGAGGTGATGGTCTGTGAGCTCGGAAGGCCCACCTTCAGGACATGACCGGAGTGGGGGTGCCTCCCTCCAGGTCAGGTCCAGCGGGTCAGGCAGGAGATGCCTGGTAAAGACTGAGGGCTGCCGAGCCTGGGGCGCTGCCCATCAGCCTTCCTGGAGCCATGGCAATGCCTAGGGGGGCCCCGAGCTGACAGCCGTTGGCGCCAGGAGTGTGCTTGCAGCTCTGCGCAGGCCCCACACAGCCTCCCGCTGCCAGCACCTCCCCCGAGGGCCCGCGCGTCACAGCTGCTGAGCCCATGCTGACCGGGCAGTGCCACTGGGAGTCCCTGGTTTATACCGGCCTGCCTAGGGGGCGGGCATCCTGTCGGCCTGGCCCATGCCCGTGTCAGGCCCACACCCCTCCAGGCCCGCCGGGTGAGCCTCCCCTCTGCCGAGCCCCAGCAGCAGTGAGCGTTTCACTTGTCTGCTCAGTTCTGTCTTCCCCAGGATGTCAGAGTTGGGGTGACGTCCCGTGCAGCCTCTCAGACCCGCTGCTGCCCAGGGGGCCACACACCTCTGTCCTGGGCAACTTGTTCCTGCTCTGCCCTGAATAAAATCCCATTTCCGGGTCTGAGGTCAGCATTGATGATCCCGTGAAGGTGGGAGCAGGAGCGGCACCCCTGTTGGTGGCACCCCACGCCCAGTGCTGCCGAGTGTGGAGCTGGGTGACTGTGGCCCTGCGCGGACGCAGCCGCGGGCGGCACCTGCAGGCCCCAGAGCGGGTTCTCCGTGGGCAGGTGCCTGCAGACGCCCGCGCCCGCACTCCCGGGCCCAACGCTCCTGCCCGTGCGCCCTCGTGCCCAGCGAGTGGTGGTTGCCAGCCCGCTGGACACCGGCGAGGAGGACCACGGTCTTCCGGAGTGGGGTGAGGTGTGGCATCAGCCCCTGGGCGTCCTCGCCCAGGTCAGGCTCGCTGGTCCCGAGGCGCAGCCTGGGGTCTGCTCCCCCAGCTCAGGTGGAGGTGAAGCGCTCCCGAAAGCAAGGGCACAGCCCCCAGGAGAAAAAGGGGAGAAACGGACCCTCCCAAGGGTCAGGCAGCGCGTCTCTCCGCCGTCTCGGGCCCCGGTTTGCTGCTCTCATTTCGGGGCGACTGCCGCGCGGGGTACTCAAAACCCTGACGCCGCGCAGGGCCGTGAGCCAGAGAGCCCTGGGAGTCGCCACTTCCCCGTCCTGACCCCCAGCTGCCCCCTTCCCCTGCCACGCGCCCCGAGGTGCCGTCGCCCCCTCACCCCTCACCAGGCCCTTTGGGGGATCCATCACCCTTAAAAGTTTGAAAAGCGAAACCCGAGACGACCGCGGAGCTGCAGTTCGGGCTGCGGCCGCCAGGGGGCAGCGGCGCCCCCGGAAAATGCCGCGGGGGCCTGGGGGGCTGCGGAGTGGAGCGGGGGGGCCAAGCCCTGCCCCTGGGGTTCGCGCGCTCGCGGCGCCGACGGAGCTGCGGGGCACCCACAGGGGAGCGGCTTCCTGGGGGAACGGGGGGCGCGGGCGGGCGGCGCTGGACACGGGCCGGGCGCCCCCGGGAGGGGCAGCTCGGGGTTCCCCGGGGCGGGTCTGGGGTTGCGGCCCCAAGCGGAGCCGCCCCGGCTCGGCAGCGACCTGTGGCCGTTGGCTTGAGGCGGCGCGTGCGGTGGAAGGACGCGGGCTGCGCGGGGGGCCCGGCGCGTTGGGGGGGGCGGGGGCGCTGGGGGGGGCCGGGGGGCCCAGCGCGCTGGCGGGGCGGGGGCACCCAGGCGTGAGGACGGGCGACGGGAGGGCAGCAGCGCGGGGGGCGGAGGGCGCCTGGCCGCGGGGCGGGGCGAGGGAGGAACGGGCTGACGGGGAAACGCTCCCGCGCCCCGCTGTCCGCGTCAGGCCGCTCGCCCTCTTCCCGCACAGCCGCCCGGCCTCCCCGCCCCCCCCCCCCCCGCGGCCCGGCCTCCTCCCCGCCGGGCGGGGGCAGCCGGGCCCCGCGGTCACCAGCCCCCGCGTTGCGCCCGTCGGCGCGGGCGGCTCTGTCCAGGCGGGAGAGGCCGGCGCCCGGCGCCCGCCGCCCGCCCTGACCGGGCCCAGGCGGTGTCGAGCCCGAGGGCTGCCGAGGACCCCGGCGGGCGCCCCCCGAGCCTGCTCGCGGGGCCTCCCGGCACCGTCCGCAGGACACCGGGCGGAAGGGCCTGCCCGGGCCTGGCGTCCCCGCTCCCTGCAGGCGCGGAGCGCACTGGACGCGCAGCTGCATCGCCATCATCACGGCTGCTGCGCTTGTTATTTGGTTTCCTTTTTTTTAAATGAAAAGTTTTCTCTTAGAAATTGTTACATCCCAAGTCACACAAAACCCAGATCCGACCCTGGTATCCTTTTGAAGACAGATCCGGGCGTGGCCTCCTCACGGCCGCGCCAAGAGACCATCTCAGCTCCTTTACCACCCCCCCTTTTTAACCAAATAAGAAAACCAGACTTTCCTGACTGGTCAGTGCGGAGGCCCTGCTGTCCAGGGGCAAAGGGCAGTGCCAAGGGAGGGGACAGGTCACTACCAGTGGGTCCTCCCCGCCCCCCGGGAACTCAAGTGCAAGACCATGCAGGCTCAGCTAACACTGGGGTTCATTTCAGAAAACAGGAGATTGGGGAAACAAGGAGTTCTAAGGCCACAGGTGACAAGCACCTCACCCCACAGCGTCTGCAGCGGCCGGAAGTCCCAAAGGCCCCGCCTGCGAGAAGGCCTGTCCTGTCCACGAAGGCCAGGAGCAGGTGGCAGGTGGTCGGCCAGGGCCCCCCTTCACAGCAGCCGCAGAGGCACTCCTGGGGTCACCTGCAGCAGCCCCAGCCGCAGCTGGAAGGCAGCTGGACAGCACTGGATGCAGGACCAGACCGCGAGGACCTGTGGTCCAGCTGCTGGCCTCACACACCAGCAGCTAATGCCCTCCCGGAGCCTTCCCTGCCCCCGGCGCGTGCTGTCTGCCTGTCACCCTGTTGTTTCAGGACACGCCTCCATGGTGGTCGCTGGAGTAGTGCCTGGGGTGTCCTCCCCCGCCCTGGATGGAGCAGCCTGGACCTGCTGCGGGTGCAGGCGGCCGGGGCAGGCGCCCAGGCCGGGGCAGGCAGCTGCCCCTCCGCCGCTTGTGCTTGTATTTCCAAAGACTTCAGTGGCAGGGCCGCGCTTTCGGATGGCCTGTGCTTGTGCAGGTCGGAAGTAATATGTAGGGATAAGAAAATCACTGGGAAGAAATGCACCAAAATGTTCACAGTGGTTCTTGCCGAGTGGGGGCCTGCGTCTTCATGTTTGCTTTCAAGGGTATGAATTCGTTGTAGAGTCAGAGCTTTTGGGGTTTTTTCAGTTGGTGTAGAATATTTAAGGCTGCGTTACTGGAAAAAAGCACTTCTGAGGAGTGAGAAGCCTGGGAGCGAGGCCAGCTGAGAGAGATTTTGGTCAGACATGTTAAATGCCCTGTGCAGGGCGGACAGCGAGTGGACCTGCCCGGTGGAAGCCGCGAGCAGAGACAGGAAGGAGCGTGTCCCCGCGACGGCTGCAGGTGAAGGCTGAGCAGACAGAAAACATGGTGCCGTTTGCAGAATAAAGCAAGTGTGCAGTGTTGCCCGGCACATTTTAAAAGTATATGGAAATACTGTTCCCTTCACAGCTGGAGGCTGTCTGTGGCAGGAGGCAGCATCTGCAGGGGGCTGGGGGGGCGGGAGGGCTGGTCTGGGGCTGGGGGGGGTATGAAGTGGGGTGTGGCCCAGGTCTCTGTGCCTGTGTCTGCTGCAGTGTTTTAGAATAAAATTCCAAAATTTCAGACACATTTTGAAATAAAATAAATGCAAGAACGAAAGGAATTTGGCTATTAATTCATTGGCAAACAAAGTTCTTTTGTCAGTAGGATAGTGCATTTCAGCAGTTTATAAATTCAGATTCTCAAAAGTAGCTGTGTCCCTCCCCCTCCCTCAGCGGTATTTTGAAGCAGTTTACTTTTCAAACCGATTCTTTTATTAAGGAACACAGAAATGATGTGAAAACACCAGCCATTATGCTGTCACTCGGGTTAGTTCTGCAGGTGTGACCACAGCACTCTCGGGGCTGTCTGGGGTGTGGGGTTCCCCGGGAGACTCTAGAGAGTGAGATGTGGAATGCGCCCCCTGGCCTGGCTGGACAGGGCCCATCTCATGTCCAGGATGAGCAGTTTGAGACAGTTGAGCTCTCGTGGTGGGGGGGGGGTAACGCCCGAGCACAGGGACCCTCCCAGGACCGCCGCGCAGTGGCTGCAGCGTCCATCCACATGAGCCTTGCTGCACATGAGGTCAGGGCCCTCGCTGTCCTGCAGACCCTGCTCACCTTGGCTCGCGGCGGGTGTGTCTATCATGTGAGGAGACAATCATTTCCCCGCCCAGGAATCCCCACTCTTTGGCAAGCGTGTGCTGGGGGAGCAGGAGAGTGGCCCTGGCCGGGCAGCTGTCGGCCTCATGCTGATCTCCTGGTGACCTGCTCACCTGCTTTGAGCCAAAAGGGTCAGCTTCTGGGCCCCTCAGTCTTACTGACGAAATCGTCTCTTTCCTCCCAGTGACAACCCTGTGAGGACGTGACAGAGAAGCAAACATGCCGAAGGGTGGGGGCGCAAGAAGAGTCTGGGTCACCTTCCCCTTGCAGGCGCACCGGGACCTGCCCTCCTACATGCATCCTCGTCCAGGGCTCGAGGGCAACTCATGCTTGGACACAGCACACACGCTCATTCACATGAACACACCCACTCACGTGTGCACACACCCACACTCCCTACACGCACTCTCAGAACTCACACCCTCACACTCATGCAGACCCACAGCCATACCCGAACACACTCGCTTGCACACATACAGCACGTTTCCTCCCCCCAGGGGAAACCCGAGACTGGCTGAGAACTGACCTGTTGACTCTCTTCACTGGTGAGGCTCAGCCTAGGGAATGGCCCAGCACAGAAATCACACCTCAGCAGGGAAGCCTTGTCCACACCTGCCCACTCACCTGGCGGCCCAGTGCAGCCAGCAGGGACTCCTCTGCTGGGCTAAAATGGCCAAAGCCATCAGCCCCCAGCGCCTGGTGCCTCCTACGCAGATGGGGGCCAGTTAGGGCTGGTCATCCAGGAATGCAGCTTACGTGCCTGTAATTATGGCCCAGACCCTGCTGATGTGGCTCTGAATCTCAACAAACGAAGCCTGCAGCTCGGGGCAGAGCAAGAACAAACTGGCCTCGGAGAGCTGGGAGCGAGCCCAGGAGCCCAGTCGCTCCCGGGCCTACAAAGTGCGCCTCATATGTAAGCCCGCGTGGGCACGGCATGAATTTGGGTGATTTTAATTTTATTCTTTTTTAAAATCTCATTTTCAAGTGTTGGAAGATAATTATCGTGGAAGACAACTTGATCTTATTGATATTCAAGAACCCACGCCGACTACAGTGGCCGCTCACACGGGCTTGAATGGGAGAACAAATCAGTATTGGTGTCAGTGTGTCTGATCTCAATAAAGTCACTATGGCAACAGATCACTGACCTATTTCTTTTCACACCTCCCAGTCAGCAGCAGGTCCCGCCCCAGGACCCTGTGTCCTTGCAGTGGGGTTTCTCCTGCAAATGTCTTCAAGGCACTTGTGTTGCAGTCTAGGCTTTCGATGGTTTCAGTCTCAAAGTTTCATATAGTGAAATAGTATTCAGCTGTTAAAAAAATGGCATAATACATGAAAAATGTGTCCTATAGTAAAAGTCATACTAACGAATAGGACACAGCTTTAAAGGAGATGAAAACATGCGCTTCCAGGCATTTAGAAACTCATCAGGACAAAAAACACCGCGTCCAGAGCGGGTGTGAAGGTCCCGCATGCGGGAGGGCCACCCCATTTCTGTTATCCACTGTCTCTAACCTCATGGACATGCCGAAGGCGACAGGAAAACCAAGCTGGTGCATGCGTATTTGCGTGCCCTTACATTTTTGATTCATTGTGTTGCTGTCTGCCTCCTGGGAAGTATATCCACGTATAAAGCAGAAAAACAGCTCCCTACAACCCCATTCCCCCACTGCGCCCACCATTAACAGCTTGTTGCTTTTCCTGCTGGGCCTTTACTATGATTATTTTAAATCATAATTGAAACCATACATTATATATAATTTTGGAAACTTAAAAAAAATTAATATAGCATAAAGTTTCCTCATGCATTAAGCAATTTTGTAAACAAAAGCTGTTTGCATGATTTTTAATGGTGGCATAAACCAAAGCCTGTGGACACACTTTAAAACTTTCCCCTTGTAAGTGACCATTTTACTGACACTGATTGGCTTCCGGTTTGGGGCCTTCCTGCTTCCAGGCCTTGTGTTGATCCTTGGGAGGGGCTTTCATCTCCAGTCAACCCTTGGGGTGAATATGAAGATTGTACCAACTTTGAGGGTGAGGGGCCAGGACTTCCCAGGAACCAACCGGCTGTCCCAGTGGAGGGTCAGGCAGGGACACCAGGCCGACTGTGCCCATGGAGGGGCCTGTTGAGTAGGATCCCTGCCTGACCACCGGCACCCGGCTGCCCGCTCAGGCCTCCTCCCCACAGCCTTGGGTGGGTGCTGCACCCCAGAGCCGGAAGGACAGGGCTGTTTCTGCTGTCCAGATGTCCCTTGACCTGCAAAGGAGGCCGGCACCCCCAGAGCCGCTGACCAGAGGTGCGGCTGCTGTTTTAGAAGTGGGCACTCATGCACCACTGCCCCTAACCGCCTGGCTTTTGGGTTTGCATGGACCATAGAATGGGCAGGCATGACGTGGGGCACGAGGAGGACATTGTCCAGTCCAGTCAGAGGGCCAAGGCTTACTTCACGTCAAACAAACTGAGGTTAACAACTTGCTGGAGAAGATGGAAACCATCCGCTCCGAGGGCTGGCTGGGGAGTGGTGGGCCCTGGGGAGGCGTGGGCCCTGGGCGGCTCCGACCCGCCCGCAGCGTCACGCAGCTCTGGGGTCCTCCTCTGCGGGGGCCACTGCGGGGCTTCGCACAGCAGGACGCCCAGGCGACGGCGTGAACCGTGACCGGAGCCGCCGCGTGGACTGGGAAAGCGAGTCTGGCCGCCGTCGTGCACCGCTCCGCAGGCCAGAGGCCTCGGGACGGGCTCAGCGCAGGAGCAGCAGCGAGACCCGCGCGCCCGGAGCTCACCCCCGAGCCGGCAGGTCCGCGGCGGTCGGCGCCTGTGGGAGCCGGCCCGGGGTAGGCGCGACCCCGGCCTCGGCGGCCTCGCGCGTCCCGCAGCCCGCGTCGCGTACGACGCTTGTGTGGTTACGATGGCATCGCTGCTTCCGTCGTCACGGTGGCGACGTGTTACGATGCGACGCATTACGTGACGACGTGTTACGATGCGACGTGTTACGGTGGCGACGTCGTTACGTGACTAGCGGCGCCGGGCGTCGTCGAGCACGCGGCGTTGGAACACCCCAAACTCTCTGCGGAATCTTGTTTTGTTCCCGCGAACGCGCCCGCGAGCGCCGGCCCGGCGTGCTCTGCGGAGGCCTGGGCTGGGGCGCCCGCCCTGCCTGCCCCGGCGCGCGGCGTTCGCGTCACTGTCCGCGTCACTGTCCGAGCACGGGAGGGATTTTAGAGTCTGTCCCACCCGTCCTGTCCGCGAAGCCCTCGGCGCCCCCGCCGCGCGCCGGCCGCCGGCCGGGAACAGCGTCAGCGCCTCCGTCCTCGAGGTCGCTTCCCTTCGTGCGCGCCCCAGCGGGGCGGGGCGGCCTCCCTGCGGGCACAGGGCCGGCGCCGGCTCCGCTGGACGGGCGGGCGGGGCTCCCCGGGGCCTGCCCGGCGCCCCCGCGGCCAGGGTGGCGTCGCTGCGCCCGCCCGTAAGAGCATCCGCGCTCCGCTGCCCCGGCGGCTCAGCCCCTGTGGGACGGGGGAGCCTCAGCCCCTGCGGGGGGGGGGGGGGGCGCAGCCCGGCCGCTGCGCGAGCCGAGGCGGCGGCCTCCCTCCCCGCGGCCGCGCTGGTGACCTGCCCGCTGGCCGGCCCGCCGGGAGCCCGGGCCCTGCCCTGCTCCCCTCCCGACGCGCCGGCGCTGCCAGGGGCGTGTGCAGGGGGGGGGGGGGGCGAGGGAGGAGCCGCATCGGGTCAAGGCCCGGGGTCAGTGGGTCCGTTTCTTTCCTCAAGTTCTTTTTCCTCCCTTGCCCGACGTCACTCGTCTCTCCCCTTTAAATGTTGCGTCCGCCTGTTCCGTGGCTGGTTCCCGCGGCCGCCCACGCCCCCCCCCCCCCAGTCTTCCTGTGAAGGGCCGGTTCGCTGCAGCCTCCGTCCTATTTGATGCCAGCAGCTGTCCGGAGGAGGCACTTCTCTCCGTGACTCCAAACACTGCTTGGCCTGCTGAGCAGTTCTCCCAGGATGGGACGGATGGAGCTCGGCGTCCTGCCGGGCAGAGGCGTGGAGCTGGCGGCCCCCCCACCTCCCGGCCGCCCCCTTCTTGCCTGGTCGCCAGCCCTGCTTGGGCCCCTGGGAGACCTTCCCGGCGGACTCGTGGGGTCCCCCATCCCACCTGCAGTGTGAGGGCGTGCAGGGCCTGCCACCCTCGAGGAAAGAACCGGTCTCTCCTTAGCTGCAGAGGTTTTTATGACCGCTGAATGGAGAAGGTCTGCTCTTTCCAGGAAGGGGGGGAGGGAGGAGGAGAAAGAGGCGATGACTGTTCATAATAAATGCTGTTTTTGTGCAAGTTTTGAAAACAGCTTTCAGGGAACAGGGAGGACAGAGACGGGAGCCAGGCGCCTGCAGGGCTCTCTGCTAAGCGGGCATCCGGGGGCTGTGCCTCCCCCTCCCTCCCGACCCCGACCCTCGGGTCAGCCCACACAGCCCTGACTCAGGTTTTCTCAAAGTACTTAACACTCTCAAGAGCCCATGTGGACACAGCGCCCTGCTTAGCCTGGCCCCCTTCTGCTACCCCATCTCCCCCTTCTCCGAGCAGAGGGCACAGCCTCCCCTTTGAGAACCAATAAAGACTTGGGGAGCAAGCGATCCTGACCCAGTTACTGGCCAAAGTGTCCCAGCTCTGCGCCCTCGGCAGTGCACGGCAGTTAGAGTGATGCAAAACAATAAAGGATAAAAGATCTCGAGCTGCTGAAAGGTGCCTTAATCTTCTTGGAATGAAAAATTCAACATTCCTCTGCTACTTAACTTCAGGACACATTGGAAAGCCCCATCGACAGGCTTCTGTTACAGTTCCTGCGTCTGTCCCACCCCGTTATGTTTACTTTCGCTCTACCTGGTCTTAATGTTAGACTATCATTGGCTTACTCTGAACGTGAGAACCAGGGGCTTTTTCCAATAAGCAAGAGGAGAAGTAAAAGGAAGTGTCTCCAGGAAAGGTGACCCTGAGCCGGTCCCCAGGGGATGTGGGCGCATCCTGGGGCCCAGCGGCCACAGCTCACCCATGAAGTTAGCAGATTGCTGCTTCTGAACCTTCCCTGCTGCCCGGCACGGCAGCACGCCCAGGAACGTCTGGGAGCCGACCAGGGACACTTCCAGACAGGACCCCGAAGTCAGTCTCCAGCACACCCCTCAGGTAGCTTTCGGTCCGGTCCTCACCATTCGCATCTCCCCTCCACCGTCCCGACACCCCTTAGCCCTCCCTGCCTCCCTCCTTAGCCGCAAAAGCCTCACTGCATTTGCCAGTGTCCACCAGTGTGTTTGCGCGACTTGCTCTGTCGATGGTCATCCGTGTAAACGTCCAGTATTTGTCTTGGTCAGTCCGACTTGCTGTGCTGTGGGTAATTCCCTCCTGCCTTTTTGCCGGGTCCAGCCCATGTTGGGGGCACTCAGGTGCCCCATGAGCCACTGCTGTAAATAACACTGTGATAAACAAGGCCGGGGGGGTTATTTTCTTTGTTGATGGTTCCATGTTCCCTGGCCAGATGCCCAGGAGGGGGGTGCTGGATTATTTCCATTTTTAGTATTTGAAGGTGAAATTCACTTCCCAAGATGGCTGCACTTGTTGACCCCCCAACAACAGTGCTCCGCCCACCCCACCCCCTCTCCAGCGCCGGCGGCGGGCCCTCTGGTACCCGCATCCTCACGGTCTGTCACACACAGCCTTGGCCCGCGTCTCCCTTCCTGGAAGTGATGAACATTCCCCACCTAAGTCTCGGCCTTCAGGGTTTCTCTTCAGTAAGCTGCCCGTGCACATTCCTCAGCAGTTGCTTCACTTTTAGACCGAAAGTGTAGGCACTTGCTTCTGGAAAGGTAAGTAAGCGGAGGAGAGAACAGTTAGCTTTCCCCGCTGAGCTGGGAAAGGGTCAGTTGCGCTTGGGAGGAGAATGTGGGGCTGAGCCTGGCCCTTGGAGCCGCAGGCCTTGTTCAAGTCTGGGACGCCCCCTGTGCCTTGGGGCGAGAGCGCTGTGTGAATAAAAGCAGTGCCTCTCACCACTGCAGCGCTCCCTCCCTGCACAGGGCGCCTGCGGCGTCACGCTTGCTCCAGTGCTCCTCGGGGTCCCCTTCACTCTGAGGCTCCGCAGCCAACATGCCCACGACCCTCGGTGGGGCTGGAACAGGAGCCACCGGCCGGGTCTTGAAGGCTCTGGAAGGACCTGCCAAAGCGCCGCCCGTGTTTGGCTGCTCCCGGCGCTCGGTGAGAGCCTCTGTCTCCAGGCGTAACCCGAAGGGGACATAAACCTGCCCCCCTCGGTGCTGTGAACTCCAGTCGAAAGGCCAGAGCAGTCCAGCCAGCCAGTTGCTCTCGCTCCTGGGACACGTGGCCTCGCCCAGATGGTCACGGCGACACGGCGCCCGGTAGGTGGCCGACAGCGAAACTCCTTTCTGCCACAGAAGCGAAGACGCTGCTTTCTGGGCCTGCGACACAGCGACAGGTGACATTTCAGCCGCCTCATTCCACTCAACGCCCACCGGACGGGTGGAGCTCAGCACTTGCCGCGTGTGGAGTCGACTCTGGCGCGCACACTGGGTTTCTTCTCGTTCCAGAGCCAGCCAGGACCCCAGAGTGGCGGGTCAGCTGCCTTACGGCCAGTGCAGGCACAGGAGGTTCCACCGGTGGCGGCAGAGGTCAGATGTCATGACTGCATCGTGGGGACGGGCTCTAGCTTCGGGTCTACGGCTGCTCCTAGCTGGAGAGGTGACCGCAAGGTCCTGTGTGAGATAGTGGCCGGGAAGCCACCTGGGCCCGCCTGCGACTTCCTCAGGTGCAGGAAGGAGGCCCCCAGGGCAGCCCGGGAGTGCAGGGGTGGGGGGTCTTCTGCTTGGTCCTGGAGATCCCAGGCCTCGGGGAGCCTAGCAAGAGAGGGGAGCCGCCCAGGACTGCACACCGGGGGCCATGCCGAGTGGGAGCTCACACTTCCTGGCTCAGGACCATCCCTTATGACCGCTGGGCTCTGCAACCTCTGTCTTTGGGTGGAACAAATGCACCAAATATAAATCAAAGGCTCTTCACACCCCAGTATTTCCACCCTTGTCATCACCATCAATTCATCCATCCGAAGGCCTCACAACACACACCCTTCCTGGCACCCCGGAAGGGCCGGCTTTCTGGAAGAACAGCGCAGAGCCGCCGTGGCCCTCCGCCGCGTGCTCTCCGGACAGGCCGAGTCCTAGGCCAGGCTCAGGCTGGACTGCAGCAGCCTCTGTCACCAGGACGAGCACGGCAGGTGGCAGACTTAGCCACAGCCCAGGGAGGAGGTTTACGTGCCGGGGCTGAGAGCGGGGCCGCCCTGCCATGCCAGCCCGGGGCGCCCCGTGGGGTCCCGCTGCAGGGACAGCGCCCCGCACGCGGTGCTCATACGCCCCCACATCCTGTCCCTGTGCTGTTTCCCTCTGCCAGGGATGAGGCTTTGCTGTTTGTGATTTGGAGGGCACGCGTCCTTCCGCTCGCTCCCTGCAAAGTCCTGAGGTAGGACTGGGGCGCTGGCGCCGGGCAGGCCTGAGGAGACTGCGAATCTGGGGAAAGGCAGTGGTTACCAGGCAGCTGGAGCCCCTCGTCATGCACTGTGGGCGGGTGAGCCTGTGTTTGTAACCATGGAGACAGGCTGAGTTGGAGAAACCTGAGCAGACCTCCAGCATCCAGATCACTCCTCAGGAAGGCTGAGGAAAAGCCTCCCCGCTCGCTCAGCGCGCAGGGCCTGGGAGAGTGAGCCCTCAATTAGACCAATTATTCTGGCCACCGCGGACGAGCTTCACCGACACAAGTGTCTCATCAAGTCGGCCACCACCCTCAGGGAGGCTGCTGGGCAGGCCCCAGGGCTGGGGTGTCCCATCCTCACAGCACCCCCTGCCGCCTTCCCACCAAGGGAGCCCTTGTCCCCAGGGCCTGGCGCCCCAGGTGGCCGCACGGCAGGATGGGCAAAATCCACAGGGAATGGCGCCTTTCCTGCCCACGTCGGCACCCGCCCGGGGCCCTTGGGATGACATGGAGAGCTGAGCGTGGGGTCCGCATCCACTCCAGCAGATCCTGGGGCCCCACCCGGCCTCCCTACTGCAAGGAAGCAGGGTTGGGGCGCCTCTGCCTTGGTCCATTTCCAAAACCAGCCAGGAAGCGGTGCCTGTAGGGTTAGCTCTGACAGACTCCCTGAAGCAGAGGGGCTGGGGTCCCAGCGCAGTCGCCACTTGGGCCTGCAGAGGGGTGGACCGCGGATCCCTGTTACCTTACAGCGTCCTCTGTTGCGCTGGCCCCGCCGAGGGCCATCAGGGTGTGGCCGGGGGCAACGGCTACCGTCTTCAGAGCACAGTGTTACTGGGGGACTTGGATGGACTGGCCGTGGGCCCAGGGGCCCAGAACGCCAGCTCCTGTGGAGATGCCCCGGGGCAGGGAGGAGGCAGCGGCAAGCCCCACCTGTCTGGCCCCCGCCTCCCGGGCTGGACGGGCCCCTGCCCTGGCTGCCCTGGTCCCGGGGCTGGGCCGAGCTCTGCGGCGGGAGGCAGAGGACAACCTACGGGCAGCGGCGGTGGTGCCCCTGCCACTCAGGTGTTTCTGCCGCCCACCGGAGCCGCGAGCGAATGTCTTGATTCTTTTCAATCACCAGTTCTAGAACCTTCCATTCACCACAAAGGGCCCGGAGGCCACCTCTGAAGTGACGCCCCGTGTCAGGCCTGTGTCAGCAATGGCATGAGGCCCCGGGCGCGCACGTGAGGGGGGTTGCTGCACTCGCTCTGACGGAGGAGACCACGCAGGTGCAGCCCGTGGGGCGCGGATGGGCGCCGGGACAGCAGAGCCGGTTTCATGTCACAGAGGCTGTGACACTGGGAGGCAGCGGCATCGGGGAAATGCCATCGAGGAGCTAGGCGACTGTTTGCAAAGGGAGGGGCTGGAGAGGCGAGCGGGTCGCTTAGGCTCCCAAATCTCTGGTTTCCAGAGAAACTGTCGGAAATGAAGCAATGCCCGGTTCACCCTCTTACGTATTGGAGCTTGTGTTCAGACGCTGTTCACGCTATGAGCAAGAAAGCAGGGCTGCTCTGGGTACTAATGTTAAAATACTAGTATGAATAATCAAAGAAAAAACTCGCCTATGTGCGAAATGACCCCAGCGAGTCCACGTCACGAGAGGGAGTCATGTCATGAGAGGGAGTCACGTCACGTGAGGGAGTCACGTCACGAGGCGGATTCTACATCACTGAGAAAGTGAAAGACGGCCACGCTCACACCCCAGACACGACCGTGAGCAGAAGGCAGGCTGCTTGTGGTCAGCACGCTCAGAGACCACACAGCCCGGCCCGAGCGACGCCTGCTGTGAGGACGCACGGTCGGGTGGGAAAGTCAGGCAGGACGGACGTGGTGACCGGGTAACGAGGGAGTGACGAGCACAAACCTGGGGTGTCACCTCTGGGTGGGGTGGCGTCAGGAACACGGGCTGGGACCGCGGCAACGCTGGTGCCGTCCAGGGCTGCCACCGAGCGGCCTGCGATGTCGTCCTTGGCGCTTACACACATGTTCCAGGGGCTGCTTTTCTGCCCGTGCGTCACGGGAAAGGCCGTCAGCCTGCTTCTCTCTCTCTCTCTCTCTCTCTCTCTCTCAACCTCGGTCCCTCCCTTGTCCAGGGGGTCCCGAGCCTGCACTGGCTCCCGCCTGGCCATGGCATGGCCTCAGGCTGCCAAGCTACCGTCCTGGGCTTCGGGGACCAGGGTCAGACGCGCTCTCAAGCCCGGGATCTTGCCCTCGCGAGGCCGAGCCGCCCACCACCTCATTCCCAGATGAGTTTCTATCTTAAGAAAAAAATTGTGAATAAGGATGAAGATGATTTTATATTTTTAACACCATGTTGAAATCATACGAGCTGGGTGACCTACCGTCACGCTCTCATACACGATGTCCCTGGAACACGAGAGAAGATCGGCGGGTGTGCGCCGCCATCCCGTGCCCTCTGATTTCCAGAAGAGACTGGGCAGGGGGGAGAGGGGCTTCTTCAAGATCATTGCTGCCCAGTGACCCGGGGCCCTGCTGGCTCCGGGGGCGGCTGCCCGTCTGCCCGTCGCTCCCCGCCCTCCTTCCCCAGGGAGCCAGGCCCGCGGGATCCACGCCGCAAGCCCTCCCGTCCCGGCGAGCAGTGGGTCCCCAGCTGGGCTTGGTTACCAAGGCAGAGCGTGCGAAGTTGGGCTTGGTCAGATCCCGGCATTAGAAACGTGGTAGATGCGGGTTTTTCTTCTGCAGAGACGCGCCTTTCGCTACTGTCACTTCCATACCAATCGCCCCGCCCCGGGGCCCTGTGAAGTGCTGGTCTTTCGCCTCGCCCGTTGGCTGGCCAGGGGAGGTCTCGGGGGCCCATCACTGCTTCTCGGTGTCTTCCAGCACTTTCGGGCTCGAAGCCTGTCTCGCTTGGAATTCGAATGTTACTTCAGTTCACTTTTGGTTACAATTTCTAAAGTATTTCTTTAACCAGCATTTTATTTTCAACGTACTGCTGCTGTCTTTGAATTTAAAGCGAGCCTTTTCTCTGAGAAAGCACAGCGGTGAGTGGCGGGGCGAGGGGTGCAGCGGGTGAGGGGTCCGCTGAGGGTGTGGCGGCCCCAGACCCTTGGTGGCGGGTGTGAGGTATACACACCCTCCGACGTGCAAAGCTGCGCTCCCAAGAGTCATAGTGTTATAAATAAACAGTAAATCAGTAAAATTTGATTTAAAAGTAGAGCTTCTGTGGACAGCACATACTTGGCTCGTGTGCATTTAGAAAAAATCCTTTCTACCAGCCTGCACCCTGGGTTGGCGAGGGCGACCCTTGGCGTCTAATGCAGCCACCGCAGGGGTCACCGCTGCCCTTTCTGTGTTTTCTCTAGCTCAAGACTTCGTGTTTACTCCATGTTCGCCTTTTTTTTTTTTTTTTTGTTAAATATTTTGTAGTCTCCAGCTCAATTTCCTTCTTGTTTCCTTTGCAGTGTAATTTTTACTTGTTTTCTTAGTGGCTACCCTGAGGATTACAATTAGAGTATTAACTGATAAAAATCAAGTTGAAGTTCATACCAACTTACAAAACCTTTGCTTCTTCGCAGCCGCGTCTCCACCCCCCCCCCCCCGCCATGCTGTTATTGCCAAGACTGTCGTCTTTACCTGCCGCGTGCCCCCCGGGAGGGCCATAAATATCGTTTGCATCAGATCGGACACATCAGACGGGCAATCAGATGAACTCCACTGACTGGCACATAGCGACTGCAGAGCGACCGTCACCGTGTTCCCTTCTCTTCCCGTGGCTCAGGTCCCTGCCTTGCAGTCCCCCATCGCACCCGAGGGGGCCCCGGAGACGCACGCGGGCTGCTGTCCTGCCGACGGTCCTCCATGTGCCCGGTGCTGGGGCTCGCGCCGCTTCCAAGATTCCGCCTTCGTGTTGTGAGAACGTCGTTATGATGTATTTTGGTGTGACTTTGAATTCTTTCTGCGTGGAGCTGCGTGGGTTTCTCGGGTCTGTCGGGTCCTGTCTTTCAAGCGCTCCGGGAAGGCTTGCCTCGCGCTTTTTCTAATGCTCGTCCTGCACTTCGTCCTGCCCTCTCCGGGCTGCCATGCTGCATGTGTTGACGTGCGCGGGAGCACGAGTCTCTGGGGCCCTGGATGTTTTTTCTTTATTCTTTCTATTTCTGTTCCTCGGATTATATCATTCCAGTTGACTTTTCTTCGAGTTTGCATCTTCTTCCCACTCAAATCTGCTATTGAGCCTTTTTTGGTGAACTTTTTAGTTATAGTACTTTGCAGCTCCAGATTTTCGATTTGGTTTTTAACAATTTCTATCTGCTTTTTAAATAGTCCCTGTTTCTTGAGACTCTGCTGTCGCAACTCCCTCAGTGCCCCGGGCCGGGGGGCGAGGCGGGGCGGGGGGGCTTCCATTCTGTGAGCGAGCGTGATGTCACTGACCAGAATCCCGGTGGAGTAGGTCAGGTGCGACATCTGAGCCCTTCAGGGGGAGCTTCTGTTCTGTGTCCAGGCCATACTTTTTCCTTCACACGTCTCATAATCTTATGTTCAAAGCTACATATTTTAAATAATGTAATGTGACAACTCTAGAAATAAAAATTTCCCTCTTCTTGAGGGTTTCTTAGTGCTGCAGTTTTAGTTTGTTTTCCAGGACTTCCCTGTGAAGCTCCCGCACCGCTCAGTCAGGCCGGCCAGCAGTCGGGGCCTCTCATCCACCGGAGCCCTAAGTCCCACAGTGTTTGCCCAGGAACCCGCCGCGCAGGTGGCGCAGACCAAGCCCACCTTCACTTCCCGCCCGGGGAACGCCCAAGGGGCTCTCAGGTCTTTCTCGAGCCGGTGCTCAGCCCTGAGACTGCCCACACGTGGCCTGCTCGAGTGCGGGGATGAGAGCCGTCCACGTCCCAGGGCATCTCCCTCCCCGGTGCAGGCGAGCAGAAGCAGGTGGGTTCTCTGTGATCTGGGCAGATGGCAAAGGGGAGTCCTGGAGCCCTCAGTGGCTTTTTCAGGCTCTTAGCGATGTTTCTATTCCAGTTGCAGTGAGGCCACCGGGCGCAGGCAGTGGGGGGTGGTGGGGGCCAGGGCAGGGAGGCTGGCAGACCTCCCGGCCCTCAGCGAATCTTCTCTCTCATGGTCTCCCCGCAGCTCTCTGCTGCACGGGCCTGTGACGCTGCCTTCATAGCCCGTCTCTCGGCCCAGGTGCGCCCACTTACCTATGCCCACACCCCGCTCCAGGTGCCGCCCTCAGGCGTGCATTCAGGACCACAGGGATCCATCATCCATCCTGAGGGCGGGAGGGCAGAAAAGCCTGATGCTTTTTTTTAACAGACCTGAAAAGAACCAAAGTGTGGGGCCTATGGGTGAGGGTGGCCCCGGCCCTGTGACCTGTGACTTTCTGCAGCCTGAGTCCCGCACGGGGTAGTTTAGGGTCTCACAGTTGACCTTCAGGTGAGACTGGCTGCCCAGGGACAACAGCCATGGAGGGCTGGGTCCCAGAGCGTTCTCCTCCAGCCCTGCCGCAGCGCGCCGAGGGTCACCACCCGCCGTGAGAGCTCCGGGCCTGAGCGTCCTCCCTTGGCCTTCCTCTAGTCCCGTCTCAGCGCAGGTTGGGGCTGCTCTTCATTCTAAACAAATAAAAGCATTTTTAAGGCATCACAGTCCATTTCTCGCTTAGCCAATATTTCCATTAAATAAATAATGAAGTTGCTCAAGCCTACTCTCAATTTCTGTGCCTTAAAGAAATTCAGAATAATTGCTTCTCTGAGTTACCAAAGTTCACTAAGCCACAAATCTTAAATGCTATTTTGAGGCCAAAATCTTTAGTATTTCTTGGTAACGACAATAACTGATAAGATAGAGCCCACTCGGTCTTCTCACAAAGGCCATCAAATGCTACAGAAACCAGAAGAAAAGTCACCGCAGCCCTTAGGTGACCGTGCTAGGGCCTGGAGGCCTCCGCAGGCCCTGGCTTGAGGGCTGACTCCACGGGCTTCCGGAATGTTCTTTAAAACATGAAAACAAAATGTTTCCAAGTGGAGGAGCTCAGTCTCCCACTTTACCAGGAGACAGGCCCGGCCACGGTGAGCCCAGATTGCGTGTGCCCCGGGGTGCCCTGCGACCCCCTGGGGGAGGTGGGCACTGAGGCCTGGGGCCCTGCGGGAGGGGAGGGGTCCTGAGCGTGTCTCCGGCCCCTTTCCCTGCAGCACTCCACACATCCATAAGCCCCCCTCAGTGGGCGAGGACACCGGGACCCTTGGCCGCAGCTGCACAAAGCCAGTGGGTCAGTGTGCAGGCCGCCCGGCGCCCAGACCTGTGACCACCCGCTTTGCCCAGGCTCCAGCTTTTCAGGGAGGAAGTTGAAGAGAAGAGAAGAAGAATATTTAAAATTCAATCACAAGTGTGTCCCCGCACTGTTAAAGGCAGGCCTTTGTGCTGCTGCGTCCCAAACTTGAAATGCGAATTCCTGCTCTTTAGATGCCTGTGTACTGTGCTCTTCTGGAAAAAAGGGGAAGGTTGAAGCACCCTGGAACGAGGCTTTCACCTGATACTAATTTTCTTCTCCATTATAAAGGCTATTGTTGGTTTCAACAAAGAGCAATAGGACCTATTAGTGGCTGTTTACATCCTGGGGGAGGGGGCCTCGGGAGGGGAGACCCCACTCATTTACCCCCAGGACTGGGATGACTGAAAAACTGCAAGTGCAAAAAACAACACTGGACCCCCTGGTTTTACAACCTCCCCCCCAGCTGGGAGGCCGCACTGCCCTGTGCTGAGACCCGCGCAGTCGGCCAGTCCTCGCTTAGACTTCAGGTTACACAAGCAGCTGGGGGCTGCCTCGCCTCCTCATGGTGCCCTGGACTCTGGACCAGGGCGGGGAGCCCTTCATTCTGGGCAGAAACCTGGCCAGGGGCCCTCGGCTGGGGGGCGCCCTGGCCTGGGGTGTCCTGGCCTGGGGTGTCCTGCTGTGGAGCCCCTCAGTACCCCAGGACAAAAGTGAGTGCATTTCCCTTGAATTGCACAGCTGCCTGCCGGTCGGTGTGGAGCACCTCCCTGTCCTTGGGTGAGGGGAGGCCCCCCAGATGGAAAGTGTCTGCCTGCAGGACGCCCCCACAACCCGGGTGTCCTTACAGGGCTGCTGGGAGCAGCTGGCCGCGCCGGGGGTCTCCCCACACCCAGGAAGGCG